CCCCAAAACCCCAAAACCCCAAAACCCCAAAACCCCAAATTTTCACTATCAGATTGAGTCATATATTTAAGCCTAGTAATGAATTGCTGTCACTCTATCGTATATGAGAAGGATCAAAGCCATAATGATATATATAGCAGCTACTAGCTTATCCTGTCCTTTCTGGTATTCATGAGCTTTCTTAAGTTCCTTACCAGCTTCTTTTATGTTCGCATTTGATGCTTCGGCATCATGCATGATTGTTGTCACTATTTCATCTTGTTCCATGATCTTCTGTGAAAAGTTATTCATCAGTTCTGAAATCTCTCGCATTGTGTTTTGAGTGTCTTGTATATTATCAGTATCGTCAACTACTCTCTGCATTAAGGACTGAGCCTGTGTCTGTCTCCTTCCAATCTTTTCTTCCTCTAGTAAGTCTTCTTGGAAAGAACCTTTTGTATTTGTAATAGTTTTGCTTTTATCTCTTTTGATAGAATCTAATTGCATTTTTTGAAGTTCTTCTTGCTGCTTATTCTCTTCTTCCTCTTTTTGCTCATCTCTGATTTTAATTCTTAAGTGATTAATTTTGACATTTCAGTCGAGAAGTCGCTTCTTATGCTGGCCTATAAGATACATCAGGGATTTTAGCCTGTCCATAAGTGCATTAAGTATCCCAGATTTAAATATCAGCTCATCTTTGCTGATCCTCTCTTCCTTGAGCATTTCCTGTAATTTATCAATTTCTTCCTCATACTGTCTTGAAAGGGCTATTTCAGTATTTTCGTTATGTAAAGAATCGATTAATTGTCCAGCCTCAACCTTGCTTATATTTTTATCAATATCCTTGATCTTCTCCTGGATGATATTTATAGTATTCTTGATGCTGTAATCTAGCTTGTATGAAAATACTAGCCACAGACTTTTCCTGCCTAAGAGCCTGTCTCATAAAAGTTTATGCCTTTTAGAAACACTTGTATTTGGCTTCATTGGCAGGTTGTATTTTATCTGACTCATCCTTACATGTCTTCTGAAGAGAGCCTCTTTATCCATTTTCAATATTTTTAATATAAATTGGGGTTTTGGGGTTTTGGGGTTTTGGGGTTTTGGGGTTTTGGGG